ACTCGAAAATTCATAGCCCAGTCAAATTGTAATACAAATAGTGTTGTATGAAATATGTTTGCACGTATTACAATTAATATTGACCAACTGTTTTATTTGATTCGTCAATTATAATTAAAAACAACTATAACGATGACGATGAATAACCCAGTATTACAATGTGTGCCCCAAATTATTTAACTACATATTTACCTTGACTACTCACTATAATATCGCAATTCCCTAAACAATTTAAGATCATTTAAAACAAACTTTTATTCAAACAGAAATTATTTTCTTACGAATATACGTTATTTTTAAGACTAATACGACGTAACAAAAATCTGCAAACTATGTATTTTTAAACAGAGAATAAACAACATTTAATTTTTGTATTTTTTTAAAAAATTCCGAACTGCATTTTCAAAATATGAAAGCTTTTGGTCCACAAGTGTCTTTAAAAATTTATGAAGGAGTAACTCGACGATCTTCGACTTGAACAAACTTGCTCGAGCGCGGCATAAAGCCATCGCTACTTAGTAGAATCCGAATTTCCATCGATCAGAGAAGAGCAATTTAATCTCAAGCATCGAATGGAAATGAATATCATCTTTTTCTATGCGCATATTCCTTCGGTGTGTTTTTATTGATTGATGGCGCGCCCGCGATAGACAATACTCACACGTACACCTACGCAAAACCCCATGAAACGTAGGCAAACAGGATCGGTTGGACGTGTGCACCGCGATAAAGCCGAACGAACGCAGCGTTCATCAATAAAACCGTGACGTCGACAGAAAATTCGCCGGGACCCTTTTCAGATTCGCTGAATCTCCCGGCTTCCGGCCGGAAGCTGTATTTCTCCGTGTCCACGACCATAATCATAATCCCTGGACAGCCATGGAGACACGTAGACCGTGCAGAAAATTCGACTACGTCGCGGACTTTCCACAAAAATACGATATCGTGAGAAAACAAATCAAAAATTATTCGAAAATATTGAAACATAATGCATAAAAATAGCTTTAAAAAAATTGTTTATAAAAATCCCATTTTTTAAAAATATCTTTCGGATCGTTCAAACCTTTGAGAAAAATTGAACAAGAAATGCGGTATATACTTTTGCACCCAAAGTTGCTATTTTCGAGTAATATAGCCTCGTGTATAAAAAAGTTCGTTACAAATTAATAAAAATTATTAATTTTTGGGCATGTACTTCGGGTCGTTCGATTCCTTGAGAAAAACTGAACAGAAAGTTTAGTACGAAGTTGTGCTCTCAGAGCTATCGTTTTTGAAAAATTTAGCTTTGAATGTATAGATAAAACACCATATTTATTTAAGTCTAAGACCACGCCCCTTTCGACGCACGCAGACTTCCTATATTTTTGAAGACGATTTTCTCGAAATTGGTGCATCCTACGAAGAAATTGTTCATTACGATTTCAACTCAATTCTGAACGAAGAGTCCGATGGCAATTTGTCAACGTATACGCTGTGACGAAAAAATTCGAAGCAGAATACCAGTTCAAACAATGAATGTAATAATTGCTGTATTAGATGCATGGTGATGATACAAAAAAGAGTATTTAAAATGTCCGGAAGCACCGTTTCAAGTCGGTAAATCAAATCAGCGGTGAGAAACGTTTTGCAACGATGTTTTTCACGCGATGTTAAACAGATAAATTGGCAGAACACGCTTGTAATAAACGACACAGTAAATAAACGTTCCTGGTTATTTTTCTGATGTTGGAAATACACAACGTTTTTACACGCTCCCGATTTGAGTCAATATTTGAATGATCGAAATATATATATATGGGAATATTGGCTTCTAACTAAAACAGACTTTTAATCAGAAATGAATTTTTAACAAGATATTGACAAATAAAATTTATTGAAATGTGGACTGAAAAAAGTTTCGAACTGTTTTATTACCGAGGTCCGAACGAAACAGGTCGAATTTGTTTGCAGACGTGAAAATAATGACATCAAAAATGTTTTATGGTTCTTAACGAAACTTGAAAATATTTCGTCATTCGTAAACTGGGGAGTAAAGTTGAATCATTTGCAAAGCAAATAGAGAAATAAATATTAGGCTAGCAATAAAATGTTACATATAAATGCGATAAAATTGTATACGATTCCATATTTTTTAAAAGAATTTTACAAGTCCCCTCTTTTTCAGATTCCCAAAAATCGTAAATTTTGTGTCCTTGATCAATCAAAGAATTCCTTCCTTCGAAGATTTCGAATAGAAAGATAACGGGTGCGATACATACGCACACGAAGAGAATTATGAAACATAAATGTTCGAGGATACGGAGAAAAGAAATTCCGAATAAATATTTGAAAAATTGGAGCACCAGCAACGATTTGGCACGTGCCGATGCATTTTTAATTGCGTCCTGTATCGGAGCGTCGCGCCGAGCTCCGCATTATCTGCCGAACGTAAATCGTTTACTGTTCCCGCCGAAAAATAAATCATTAGGGACGCGGAACGAGGTGCTGGCACAATACGGAGCCAATTTGATTTAATGACGAGAACACGAAAGCGACGGTCTATTATTTTCACGTTAAATTTACTCCGATTCGTAAACAATAGGAAATTATTCATAAATCCGTCCGGAAACAAAGAGAGAGAGAGGGAGAGAGAGAATGAGAGAGGAAAAAACACAATATCATCGCGGTATCGAATGGAATATATTTTTCACTGAATTTCGCGACTGAGAAACGGGCGGGAAAAATTGAATCCGCCAATCGTCGAGCAGCAGCGAGTGTCACTGGGAAATTCGATAACCGTGTTATCAGCGTCGTTACACCGTTTTTCTATTTCTTTTTTTAATATTCAATAAATTTCCGCGGATCGTGTCCCCAGTTTTGCTAACGGCCGTCGACGGAACCCGAAACAATGCGTTTCTCCGTGAACTGTTTCGCGGATATTGTTAACGTTTTTTTGGCAACACGTACGCGCGATTTCGTGAATTGAGCCAGTTAACTGTAACAGAAGAATGCTTTTTACCACAATTTTCCGCTGTCCCCTTTGCCTTTGTATTTATTGGGCGTTGCCGTCGTCGCGCGGAAAATGAAATTCGCGTGCTTTTTCGTTCGCTAATATTTGCAGCAAATATTTTCGGGACAACGAATTTCGTTGGCGCATGATTGTTGGAACTGCAGAGTCGACTTCTTCAGAAGACATTAGCGAAGTTTATTGTTTCGCTATTTGGACATTAATTTGTCTTGGTGTGCGTTCGTTCTCAACGGTTCGACGATGTTCGAAGGATTTGGAGAATTTGCATCGCGGAATTCCAATACCTTTGATCGTCACGAATTTAATCATCCCTTGATTCAGAAACATTTATTTGTCAACTGCTTGCTTGTACAAACTATTTCAATGAGATCTGCGATTTTCAACAATTCGCGACTGTAATTAATTACTTCCTTGTTTTCATATCTCGAATATGTGCTATTAGTTCCCGTAAAATGAAATTAAAGCTTCAGTGTCGGTGATTTTCATTTGAAATTCACTGCTTGGAAATATAGTTTCTACATGTTTGATAATGTTTGAAATGTTTCACAAATCCGGCTGGTGACATCGCTTGTATTGCAATTTCATTTAAAGACTCGAATAGAACTGAATTTATTATTCCTTTTTGTTACAATATTGTCTCTACAATGTTGAAAGTATTTAAAAAACATTAATTGTATCTTTCAAATTTGTTCGTTCATTAATATTTAGTAGAAGCAGATAGGATTTTACTTCTGCATCTCGTATTTTTTTAATAATGCATTAAAATGAAAATTCTAATTTGTGTAATTTTCGCTGGGACCGTTAGTTTGACACAGTTTGAACATTTCAAAAAACCTCGACTCCATCAATGAGTTATTATTTTATTTATTATTATTACAATAATATATTATTATTAAAATTTTAAAATTCACTCTGAAATAGAGTCAAATAAAATTCATTGCAACCACAAGCTTTAGACTGTTTGAACAGTTCAAAAAATGTTTATACAGTCAATATAGCAGGAGCAGATTCCATTTTACAGCTAAATCTCGAAATCGCTCCGAAATGGAATCAAATAAAAATTCTATTTGTATTACACTCAATAGCCCCACAGATTTGACGCAGTTTGAGCACTTCAAAAAATCTTCGCATCGTCAATATGGTAGAAATACATTCAATTTGACGTCCACAACGCGAATTCGATCCAAAATAAAGTCAAATCAAAATTGTAATTTGCATCATATGCGATTTAACCACAGGTTTGGCACAGTTTGTGTACTCCAAAGAATCTTCGCATCGTCAATATGATAGAAACACATTCAATTTGAGATCTATAATGCGAATTCGATCCAAAATAAAGTCAAATCAAAATTGTAATTTGCATCATAAGCGACTTAACCACAGGATTGACACAGTTTGTGTACTTCAAAAAATCTTCGCATCGTCAATATGGTAGAAACACATTCAATTTGAGATCTACAATGCGAATTCGATCCAAAATAAAGTCAAATCAAAATCGTAATTTGCATTATATACGATTTAACCACAGGTTTGACACAGTTTGAACGCTTCGAAAAGAGTTCATACCTACAATACAACAAAAGTACACCCAATTTAAAATCTGCATCTAGATCTTCCATTCAAGTGAAACCAAATAAAAATACCACAGGTTTGACAAAGTTTGACAGGTTTTAACAGGTTCGCCACCTTCAAAAATCCGTCACACCACCTATATGTATAATGACGTCGCCGTATCATGAATTCCATAGAAAACTGTCGTAATTTTCGGAATCAATTTCCCGATTCTCCCAAAAGCTTTCAAGCTTCCAATCAACCAGTTACTCGACACGAAATCCGAAACTGGACGGGAACTGACCAAACAGCCAGGAAGAGGACACAGGTCACCGTGAAATCGCTGATTCAGTCTCGCAGGGAATAATAGCGTTTCGCCGGCGGTCCTGTTCCTGGCAGAGGGCCGGATAAAAGAGTCGGGCGGGCGACTCGGTCCACTTACTTGAAGAAGTAAGTGTCGTTGACGTAGCCGAAGAAAGGAACGGTGTAAGTCAGCATCCAGATATTCCCGCCGCCGCAGTCGTAGTACGGTTTCGACCACCTGCCGTCCTCGTATCTCACCGTCAGGATCTCGTCCTCCTCCCGGTCGGTGTGGGTGGTCTCGTTCATGGTGTACGTGTGGAAACCTGTCGGCCGAAAAGAAACACGATTAGTCGATCGAAGCCGCAATACGGGCGGGAGAAACAATCGTTCCGCTAACTGCCCTCTGTCCTCGGTGTTTCTTTTTCCGCGGCGACAGCGTCCTTTTCCGGCCCCGACGTTTCACGGGAAATTAATGGGAACAGACTCCGGAACGCGTCTTATGTTGATTCTATCGGTCGCGGCAGTCGATTTTTCAGGTGACCCGGCGACGCTCGTTAATTATCTCAGAAATAGGGGGCCGAGTAAATTGGAAACCTCGGGCGATAAGGAAGAGAGCTGCAGTTTATTGTTGGAAATCTGACGAGATTCTGTTACCTTTGAATTGCGAAGGTTTGACGGTGTTTGAGGATCATCCGAGGGTCGGGAGTCTGGTTTAAATAATTCCAGAAAATCACAGTTTCGCAAGGAGAATATTGAGAATTAATTGCGGTAACGTAATCTTTGAGTTTTAATGGTTTGATGATGTTTGAGGATCTTTTAAGTATCGAGATTTTTGTCCGAACGATTCCGGAAAAACAGCATTGGCTCTGAGAATTTAGAGAGTTAATTGTGGCAACGTAATCTTTGAGTTTTAATGGTTTGACGATGTTTGAGGATGTTTTGACGGTGGAGAGTATTCTTTAAATATTTTTAGAAGCTTACAGATTTGATGTCAAAACACGATTAATTAATCAGAGTAACGTAATCCTTAATTTTAATTGGCGATGTTTGACGATGTTTGAGAATCAAGAGTCTCGCATAAATTGTTCCAGGAAAACACCATTGGCTCTGAGAATTTAGAGAATTAATTGTGGTAACGTAATCTTTGAGTTTTAATGGTTTAACAATGTTTGAGATTCTTTGAATATCTAGATTCTTGTCTTAAAATGATTCTAAGAAATGGCAATGTTCTTTTCTAGAATACGACGACCTTAAAGAATTAGTTAAAACTTACTAATTAGTTGAATTAGTAAAAGCTTAATAATTAATTAAATTAGTTAAAGTTATATGTTTGTCGATGTTTGAGACGTCCATAAGAATTGATAATCCGCAATAATTTGAATCATTCCAGTTCGATTTCGTTGGATCAAACAGGCGCATCCAATATTACACAGAGAACCGAGAAAATTAACATGTTCCCGGTTTGACAATGTTTGATCACCAATGAATACCCTAAAACAATTCCCAAAGGAACTCCACACGTCCCCGGCCCAAGTGATATCATACCGCAACCCAATTTCATTAAACTCAGAGGAGAAATTGTACAGCTCGGGGGAGACTTTAATTAAACATTGTAATAAAGAAATTCTCTGCTAAAAATAAAAACAACAAAATAATATAATTTATTTCTCGTTCATATATAATAAATGTAAATTAATATTATTATTTCCAAATAAGAAATAATAAATAAATTATTTGTGGAGTTGTTTTTAATGAATTTTTGAATAAATTAAAATTGCAGTTTACTGTTTGCGAATGAGGACTTGTTAATTTAATTTGTAATTTGTTGATTGAAATAAGGTCTACCGAACTCCGGGTACAAGAATAATATTCCGCTGAAATTAGAATCTCTCGGAAATAATAACGTTGCGGTTCTCCGCGGCCGGTTATTTCATTTCAGTATTCGCTCTATCAACGCGCCTTGTTCCCGGGTATCTAAAGCTTGTTCCCTCTATTTCCTCTTTCACGGTTGTCCTCTGTAAATCTTCCCGGGGAATGGGGCCGAATCCCGGCGAAGGATTCGGTCTCTTGATATATTCTGCGGCGCGGACCGTTTTCTGAGGGCGGAAACCGAAAATACGGTTTTCGCGAGGATTTCCCACGGAAAGAGCGCGCGGAGAACCGCACGGAGCGGAGCACCGAATAAGAAGAAACGCGATTTCTTAGACAGTGGGAAGTGAGAGAAAGAAGGAGAGAGAGAGAGAGAGAGAGACAGAACGCAGGCTATTCTACCTTTGACGGTCTCGAAAGTCAAGCTTTGTTACTCGCCACAGCCACGAGACGAGTCGTTTTTTGCGGGATAACCTCGTGATATCACAAGAAAAGGAACGATAGCTTCTCCGAACTCGCTTCGTACGCGATCAAAGAGAATATCCGAACAATACAAAATGACTCGCCTTCGACGTTCTACGCTTATACAGAGTGTCCCGTTTAAAGATTGTAAAAAATCTCGTAGATCTTTGAGGGTGATGATACAGTATTTATTTAATTGGAAATTTTTTTTTTCATTAAAAATAACTCCACAAAAATACTTTATTTATTATTTCTTATTTAGAAATGAAATGTCACTATTTTCTTTGGATTTTAGGCAAAGAGAAGTAATAAGTAATCTACGCTTCTCCTTCGTCTGTTTTATATTATACGATGGATATCTTGTGCATTAATTTTGCAAATAAAATGTTATCTTTCATTTGAATTTAAATGAAACGCAATTAATAGGTCAGTTTCGTTTCCTTTTCTCATGTATCGTGTAATAGATATTAATCTGCATTTATTATAAACGAGAAATACATTGTATTGCTTTTTTATTTTTTTTTATTGTTTTGATTATTGTATGATTTTTAAAAAAACTGACACACGTCCTTTATTGTTTCGAGCTAGGAGTCAAATGGCGATACTAATTTTTTAATGCGTGGGCGTTTCCATAGTTATTTCAAGGTCATCTTGTTTTTTTATCATAAACCTATATTTTTTTATTTTGGGAACGTATTCTACGTAAAAGAATGCACAACTTTTGTTCGAAACATTTTTTGCAATATTATGTTTTTAAATGAAACAAAATACCTTTTAAAAGAATAGAAAAACAAAATTATCCTAAGCTAAATATCTTAAAAGATATTAAACTTATAAACAAAATGTTTCAAACAAAGTTGCGCATCTTTTTTACGTAGAATATGATTCCAAAATGATATAATAAAAATTAGAGATACAGATAATAAAATATATATAATATATAGATATATAAAATTAGAGAATATATACAGATATAGGTTTATGACAAAAAAAATTAAGATGACCTTGAAACTAGCTTCAAAACGCCCATTCATTAAAAAACTAGCATTGCCATTTTACTCTCCACTCGAAATACTACAGGACGTGTATCAGTTTCTTTTTTTCTAATCACGTGTCTACGAGATTTTTTACAGTTTTCAATTAAATGAGACACCCTGTATATACCGCATCGTTTGGATAAATATCAAAGTTATCATAAAAATTGCATCATTTAACACGTTCAGTGCCGCATGAGTAGCGTATGGATGACACTAATTTTTAACTAGGTTTTTGAAAATCATTTTTATTGTAATATACTGAACAAATCGAATGTTACTAGGATTTGTAGAATACAAAATAGCTGAACTAATATTTTCTATGGAAAATTTTCACTTTCTAGTTTCGGTTTCATTAATTAAACGACTTTGATATGGCGTGAATTTTTCGAGTTGATATTCGGCACTTAACGTGTCAAAAGCAAAAATTGTGAGGACTTTTGCGATTCACCGATAACGCGCAAGCTCGCAATGCCTCCGCTATAACTGCCCCGAAACATTGTCGAATTTTTCTTTTATTTTCCCTGTGCACTCTTCACGTCTGCCTCAACTCACAGTCATCGTATCATTTCTAAAACCACACAGCACTAGGTAAGCAGCACATGAATCAATACTAGGAAACACGAATTTGCTTTCGTGCTTCAACCGTGGTACAAGGCTTCCATTAAGCGAATTCTAGATACAATGAACACCATCCAAGTAGCTTCTAATTTTGCAGATACAAGCTAAAATGTAGCTCCATCTGGATGCGCAACATTGTTTCAAAATCTCCACGTCAGCATACAAATTTCACGATTCAAAGGCAGAACATGTACAACTTCTATGATGCACCGATGACGCATGTTTGCGTTAAACGTATCATAAATATCCTAAACGTTGTCGAGATATTTATTTCAATATTTCATACGAATTTTTGAAACATTCCTCTATCTGCATACACTGTTCAAAAGTCAAAGTACGATATAAGTGTTGCATAATTCAAACACAATAAATGCGGATTTATTTTTAAGACTCCTCCGTAATGCATTAAATAAATTATAACAGATTTTTAATGGAAATTTAAATTTTAGTAGATTTTTCATAGGAATAGAGATTTTAGTTGTGATATATTTTTTATAAAAATTCAAATGAATTGATTTTAAAAATAAGAGTGATGTTAATTATAATGAATTTATATTATAAATTTGAATTATATATATAGTAGATTTTTATATATATAATGAAAATTTAAATCTTAATAGATTTTTA